CCAGTCGTACGGGTGCTTGAATGGCTCTCGGGGAATGTTTCTGAGTACGAACTGTCTTTGGAGGGAATGATCTTCTTCCCGGACAAATAGCTCTTCGCCCCGTGGTATCTATGGACCAAGTTTGGCAATTTGAAACGGCGCTGTATCTTTTCATAAGTCGACGCAGATTGCATTGTCCTCTCTGGTTCCGCAGATGACCGTGGAAGGCTTCGATCAAAGAGATTCATATCACATGATCGGCGCTGCTCCCCGGATCCACTCTGGCAGGTGCAGGGGACGGCCACCGAGCAGAGACGGTTGAGCACAGAAAACTCCAACTTCAGCTTGACGCTGTACACCACCGTCTTGAAGCTCACTTGAATGTAGTGTAGTTTGTATTCCGCCACCAGGAGGAGAATATTCACGAATACCACGATGATATTGATGCAAATTAGATGGATGATGGCGTTGCGGCTCTCGCGACCTCGGAACGCACTGATAAGTCTGAAAGCACGAACTGCTTCGTATATGTAAATGCCGCAGATGACGAAATCTTGGATGCAGAAGCCCGTCAATTGGATTCGGTCGAATATCGCGGCAGGTTGAGCAAAGCGTGCGTTGCCGTTGTTGAGGAGAAAGAATAAGACGGTCATTGGAATGTGTAGGATGCAAAAGTTCGTGAGTATCATCCACAAGACCCAACGCACCTTTCTCGCATCGGCGAAAACGAGATGCAGGCGCGAGTAGAGGACGAGGGCTTGGCCGGTAACCATAGCGTACCATCCAACTATGAAGGGGATGGACGTCGCGAGATTGGATGACTGAGACAAGAATCGTGCCATGGCAGGAATGGCGTGCACAAGAATGCCCCAGGATGCGAATTGCATGCTCCAGAAATATAGGCTGCGGTAGTGTTTGAAGGCATCAAATGTGACGATCCCTGTCTCGACAGCATTGTACGCGCCGATCGAGAACATGGATACAATTTGAATGATGGATATATTATCCATAAGGATGGCGCCCACTTTGGGGGGCAGGCTGGTGATGACTGTATCCATGGTCTGATAGGAGTTGACACGAGTACAAAGATGTCTCTTTTGTTTGAGTTGATGGATGGGATCAGTAGCGGTTTTTAAGGGTTGTTTCATTGAACCAGGATGTGAGCGTCCTCACAATGAAATCATGACACAACAGCTAGTGATCTACTAATCTCCAAAATTCTTAGAACACTTATCAGCTAGGATTCTAGCCTTGGATGCGTTGGGTGGGTCGACAACAGAGTTAACTATACCGTAGAGCTACAAAGCATATGATTGAACCTCAATCCCAGCCCAGTCATGTTTGGTGGGAGGGGGTTTTTTTTCCCAGCCAGTCTAATAGTGGCATGCTATTCCTCAGATGGAACAAAGGTTCTTCTATCTCAGTCATATCAACGGTTACTATCATAACAACCGTGGAACGCAGAGCAGGATCCACGGTCGGTGGCCAATGTCAAACTATCGTGACAAATTATTTTTTTATGAATCACGGAACCGCGTGTTCGGTGGAAGACGGCGATGATTCATGGCAATTAGGTTTTAAGCTCCGATCTAGATCTCCCGTCTGCTGCTCCACTTACTTTTTAGATCTATCATGCTTACGGCTGCCGCTACAGTGTAACTGATTTACTGGAGGAAATGGACGACACTCATCACGATTTCGGTCTTTTGACATAGAGTATGTGATGAAATGGCTACGATGGTGTTTATGAACATTATTGGTCGCGCTATCCTGAGTATTAGCAACCTTGAGAAGGATCAAAAAAAGTAAGATTTCCGGCCCATAGAAGTTCTGTCCCACAACGCCGACTCCTTTCGTTTCCAAAAACCAATCGGTTTCTCGGCTTTTAGTACAAAAACCGGACGACATGTTTACGTAGGCTTCTCTGGTCCGTCCAATATTGGAATGGACACGTACAAGATGTTTGCCAGTGTTACCAGCCTGGCCAGGAAATTGGAGCAAGGATAGAGAAGGAAATACCGGATAGGGAGGGGAGTACGCTTATTTGGGGGTGGCTGATGCAGAGTGAAATACATAGCTACTAGAACGTTTTGTAAATTAGATAGACGAAGAAACAGAAGCGACGGATGATCGAAGGGCTCTAGGAAACCATGACCGCACATCTTGTTGACGTATCATTCTATTCTGGAAAGACTGCGTGATATTCCAAATACCTCACCTGCCCAAAACGTAACTGCTCAGCAACAAAGCCGTTCCACCTGCAGGACAACAGCCCATCAGGTCTAGGCTTGTGGATCGTGTCCGGCCTTTGCAAATCCTTCCGAATTTTGCTGAGTCCCACAAATAGAACCTCCCTGATCTACTGTCCCATGGGTCATCGCTGGTGTTTCATTGTAGAACTGTACCAGCGTCCGTCCATATTCATGCGCATTATTTGGTCCGACGGGAGTCCCTTGTGTCCAAGGTCTCATCAGAAGTGTGATAATAGCGTTACAATCTCGCGAACGGGGTGGCGATCGACAAGGGACCAAATCGTGAGCCTTGGTAGCTGAAATGGCTTATATGGTTGTCCTGGAAACCAGGCCTTGGTTCTGTCGATGGTGGAACTGCTTAGGATTTAGATTCCGCCTCTGCTATAACAGCGTCCATCAATGAGGGCCGTGACGGGGGAGGATCGCTGCTATTAACGAGATGGCGCCACTTATGCAGAGTTGTGCAAGAGACATTAATTGGATTATACCTAAAGGCAAAGAGCCTTTCTCGGGTGTAAGAGCTCCGCGGATTCCTCAAATAGCCTGTATTGAGACACAACTGATTGCCTGGATGGAGTTCTCTGTGCGGGCCGGCCGATCACTTCCTTCACAATGGACCGGCAGGCTTTTTTGCCTTCTTTTTTTTATTTCATTTTCTTTCATTTTTTGTACTTCGCGCTAGCACCCCATGGGGTCCGGTGTGCAGAATGGTTACTCGATCCTCTCTGCTCATGATCCGGATGCTAGCAAACAAAGTCTTGGCAAGGGCTAACAGCGTTTCCACCTCGTTTCAGGTCTTTTGCTTTGGTCTCCACCTAAGCCTTTAAAATCGCTGCTCCCCAGGTGGCTATTGTGATCAATCGTCTTCTTCAGTTTGCCTGCGTCTTGCTTGAATCAACAATAATCCCTCAAACGGAAGAATTCAGCATGGCAAATGAACCGAAGCCCTCTCGAAGTGGGGCAGGACGCGGTGCCGCCAAAGCAAAGTCTCGCACTAGCAGATCGCGTCCTGGTTCGCCTTGTTCTGTTCGGTCGACAGTCTCTACGTCCAAGGCGGACCGTAATCCTCAGAACTCAGTAGCGAAGCTACGCAAAGACCTGGTATGTCATTCCCTATCTTGTCTTCAGTCGTATATTTCTGCACCGAAAGTCACGATGCGATCTTCCTTCGATAATGTACTCTTGGCTGACGAGCGTTTCCAGGGACATTCTATAACGAAAACCGCCCGGAAGAAAGATTATGAGGCGACACATCGACAATGTTTGGATGTGATGGACCAGATTCAAGAAGAGTTTGAACTAGCTCTTGGGAAAATGGACGACGAGAGAGCCCATGGTTCCCAGATGGTGCAGCGTCTGCAAGTTGAAAAGGCCCAGGAGACTTCCAAACTACAGCAGGCTATCACAGCAAAAGACAAAGTCTTGGAGGAGAACCAGAGGCTTGAAAGAGAACTCTGCCAAATCAAGCAGCAGCAGGAGTCATTTGACGCCACCATGCAGGATCAGGTCTCATGGAACGATATTCAGCCGGTCTTGCATCAGACACACTGTGAGCTGGTATCTGCGACCACTCGGCTCTGGAACACGATCGATGCTCTTCAGAATCGTAGACCGGCGCCCTATTTGCCTGGCTCTGAAGTAATTCACGGAACTTGGCCCGACCAGGATGGCCCGCTGGGGAATTTGGGTCACAATGCCCTACCCGGATTCTCCGCATCGAGTAATTACCCACTTGTTACTCAGCAGGTGCCA